TAAAAGAAATCACTATTCTCAGCTAAGCTTCACAAAGAGCAATCTCTGGGCAGCTAGTTAAACAATGTTAACCATTCTGAACCAGATGAGAGCAGTGAATGACTTAGCATGGTCATTGAATAAAATGGCATCGATTGAAGTAACTTTAAGAGCAGTCAACAAAATGGAAGTAAGAGCATCAGCTAGTAAAACACAGTTTAGTTATCGTGAGGAAAAGGTTGTGATAGGAATTGAATTAAGATTAATTTCAGAAAGAAAAAGATCAAGTAGGTGTTACGGGTTCCATGTTTTCATCCCTTTGGTTAACCCTGCCTGGTAGCATATTTTACAAGTGGATTTTGCTCCTTCCCTTGTTTTGCTATAGGTAAGCAGAGGGTAAGGCCTTACTCTTCATGTTACTCCATAGTACTTGGAGTTATATGCAAGGAAACCATGCTGCCTTCTCAAAAGAGCATGGATTCACATGGCAGTGCTCCCCATTCCAGGTGTTTATCCCTCCTTTCTTCAGGCTAAACTACCCCAGGATTTTGAGAATGCTCCACACGCCTTTGTCAGTGTTTCATCAACCGAGTGGTCCCGGGATGAGGTTGCCAGCCCAAAGGGTTTCACAAAATCAATAAATTAAACCAAAGAGCAACTCAAAATTCATTTATAAAATATGTGTTCCTTACAAAGCTATCCTAAGACAAAAGGGATTACTTCTATGGAACCCTCACCTACTTAGAGGAATTTAGCTCCTAGTGAGCATTTTTACAAGGAAATAAGAAAACAAAGAGACAACCAGTCCTAGGATGGGTGTTGATCCTCCTTTATGAGGATTGCTTGTTCCTTTTATAGGGTTCTTCATTTGATCTCCATTGTTCCTTTCATCAAGGGTCGTGCTTTGTCTAAATCCTCTCCAATGGTAGCTTTGCTTCTTGCCAGCTTGGCCTTAAATGGAAGTGGTCCCCCTTGCTTTTGGCTCCCTTTGTGAGTAGGAGTATCGGATTCAGGGTGGCACCTCCACTCCTTCTGCTGTAGCTGACGTGGCGGCTCCCCATTGCTTAGCTTCTTTGCTTTCGTACTGTAGCAGAGGCAGCACCTTCACCTTCTCTGCTGTAGTTGACGTGGCAGCTCCCCATTGCTTCTTTTGACTACTGTTGTACTATAGCAGACTTCTTTTTCCTTTCTGCGCAACACTCCTTCTTCTCTCTTCATTTTGTGGTTCCTTTTGATGGGCCTTAGGTGTCCTGAACAAAGCAAACTAACCCAATAGTCATATGCGAAAAAGATAATGTTAAATTTGCTCCAGGTCTACCTTAATTCCCATTTTCGGCATTGCTCTGGTCCACTATTCAAAACAGTTGCTCTATATGAAAAGAAGAAGGTTAAAGGGCGTGATTTATAACCAAAACATGGGTTTTGTGGAATAATTTGCACTTAATGGGCCTCAACTCTTGAGGACTATCAACAACACAAAAGAAAAGCCACCACTCTCTCTCCTTCCTCACCAAGAACCCGAGGCCTCCATGGAAATAAGGGGAAGAAATTGTCAAGCTTTCTTTCTCTCATAACTCTCTCCATACTCACTCAAATCCAACAAAGTTTGTCACCAAAGTTATAGCAAATCACCATCCAAACACATCCCACCGATTGGTTTCCCTTGAAACTCACTCATTTGGGAGAAAAATCCCATCTAAATTCGCGGCCATTGAGGGGTTTTTGGAGTTCTTGAGCTTTGTGTTCAAGCTTTTGGTTGGGGATCACTTAGAGGAGTCTTAGGCCAAGCTTGTGAGTGAGTTTTCACACTTTTGATTGGTTAAATTGATGGATCAATTTTATGAACCCTAGAGCTAAATTGTGTGATTGATGTAGTTAGAGAGCTCAAATTGAAATTGTGTATTAGATGAAAGTGACTTAGAATGATGTTTTGGAGTGATTGATGTCATAAAAATTATTGGAGAATTTGGATGGTAACTTAGGAAAATTTTGTGTTGAAATGTCGTGACTTTGTGGAATTGATATATTGTATGATTGTGTAATTGAGTTGTGGAGTATTTGTATGAGTTAATAATAGGATTGTATGATGTGTGGGAGTGTTAAATTAGATTGAATACCCTTTGGTTATAGGGCTTGGAGAATTCGTTCAATATAGGGTATTTTGGGTTTGGATGTTGTAAAATTATGTAATTAATGTCGTGTGGTGTTAATTGGTGTTTCAATGAGTTATATGTTGGTGTGGTGAAGTGGAATTGGAAGAAAAAATGTTGAGTGTGTGTGAGTGTATATTCAAACATTTAAGGAAGAAATAGTAAGGATGGTGCTAGGTGAAAATTAAAATTGATTAAGGACTTGAATGGGTGTTGTGTACGCTTGTAAAGACATAGGAATCTTGAAATAAAATCAAGAAAATTGTTTGGGTAATTATGGCCATAAGGTCGACCCATGCTAGTGGGGGGTGTGAATTTTGGTACTTTGAATATTGATAATTTGCATTGTGTGTTGATGATCCTCGTGTGATCACTGTAGGTTGCCTCCCACGGAATTGAACCAGGAGATTTAAGCTTGGTGGGTTGCCTTTGGTCCCTGACCAAAGGAATTTTTGTAAGTCTCCTTGAATCTATGCATGAATAATTGATAAGCTTGTATATATCTTGGTTGGTTGTAATTGAAATGGAAATGCCCTATGTGTAGGCATTTCTTGGGAACCGAGCTCGGTGATACTGTGGATTCGAGCTATTAGACGAAGGAGATTATTCGAGTAATCCCTTGGTACTGGGGTTTGATCCCCGTGTGTGCTCTACCATGCCCGTTGCGAGTAGTGGTTGGAGGTGTATGTTGGTAATGTAGTATAACATGCTCATGCATTATTGTATGTTAGGGGTACATAGGATGTACCGAGTCTCTGGCCAGTAGACAGTTTGCCTTCGGGCGTTACGAACTTCCACTAGATAGGTCTCCATGAGGGAGTTCCAGTTGACCTGGGGTCGTGGTGTGTCATCCGTAGAGGAGCATACTAGAAAGTCTCGGGTGGAAATAGATGGAGGGTGCCTTGGTTGATGTTCTGGGAACACTTCCTTGGATTGGAACCCGTAGGCTATATGCCAAGGCCAATAGGCCGGATGTTGCATGGTATTGGCATCGACCATTCTAGCTTCATCGTATTTTATTCTCTATGCTTCCCTACTTCACTAAATCTCTTGCTTTATCCCGTTTTGAATGTTGTATTATATTATTGATATGCATCTGTGTGAGCCATTGTTCGGAGTAATTTTCAGAACCTCTGGGTTACTGAGATATATTCGTATATCTCACCCCGTTTTGGGGACTTTATTTCATGTAGTGGCAGTGGCACTGGAGCGGCGGACAAGAGGCCCATAAGATGAGCTTGGACATAAGATTATTTTGCATTTTGTGGCCATTGGGCCTAGGCTAGAGTTAGGACATGAACATTGCATATGAGCTAGGATTATTATTTGTCATCTTTGTTCATGTCACATTTTGTCTAAGTTTAGTCTTCATTTTCATGATTTATTTTGGAGATTATTATGTTGTATATTGGTTATGCTTTCTTGAGGTTATTGTAATATTTGTAAAGAGGCATTGTAAATTGTATTATTGAGACCTCGTGTATTCTTGAGCTTGGACATGCTATATGTTTTATGCCAAAAAGAATGCATGTAAAGGAATTAATGTGATTGAAATGGTTTAAGCTTTGGCAATGTAAATGTTGAATCGTAAAGTAAGCTTTTGATATAAAGAAGGGTTGTAAGAGCACCAAGGCATTGTTGGTCCTTGAGTGCCACCCATATTTATTTGGTAACATTTGAGGTTAGATAACACACCTTTAAAGGTGGGATATGTTGGAAAAACAAAGGAGACTCGCGAAATTTCTAGAAATTAACAGAATTTGGGTGAACTTTGGTAGAGCATATCTCCCTCCACAAGGATCCAATAGGGACGTTCCATATTCCATTTTAAATCTTGAGATGTCAAATACCTCTTGTCAAATTTTGAGATCCTTAGGAGTATCACGCAACCCTGTAGAAGCCAGAGAGCACAGACTGCTCAAAAAGCCCCTGCACATGGGGCTGTCGCTGGTAGTTTTTGGGAAATTTATTCCCGCTTCTTTTCTTGGTCAAATTAGGTGAATGATATGTTAAATTGAATCTTGAGGAGTCTAGTTTATTGTATAAAAATTTGATAGCAACTAGTGGAGTGTAGTTTCCAGAATCGTTGAGAGAGTGAGGGATGTTTGGAGCCCTATTTGAGGTTGGCTGGCAGATTTGCTTGTCCAACTTCAAACGGTGATAACTGGAGCAAACGAGAACTTTATAACTCGTGTGATAGCTTTTTAGAAAGATAATTAAGTCTAGAATAATATACTATAAGATGAGAGGTTTGAGGCATGCGGATTTTCTGTAATGTCTAGAATATCGAACCATGTTCGGATAGGTAGAAAACGTAAAAGTGAGATTTAGGCTAAGTGGGTTTATGGGGACCCCTTAGTGTCTTGAGAGCTATTACAATGTTAGTTCAAATAATGTAGTGTGAAGTAGTAAACGATAACTGATGGTCCTCAAAAATCGAGAACCATTGATTGTTTAATTGCTCCTTAAATCCAAATTTTTGCTATAGAATTATTGCTTTACTCCAAGTTTATTCCCATGAGCAGTTTATTGATAAACAGGGATGGAGCAAAACACAATCTGGAAATTAGAGAGCAATTGGATGTAAAATGATTTATTTTTATTACTTTTGGGCTTAAGAAATTATTTTGCATTTTCAGGAGGCCAAATGTCCATTTAAAATAGGCCCAACTTATAAATAAAGCAAACTTGGAAAGAACGAAAGAAGAAAGAGAAAAAGGGAGACAATAAAGCAAGAAAGAGCAGAAAAATAAAAAAGCAATCACAAAAAGCACTATACCAGCGTCCTTGGAGGAGAGAGAAACCAATTGGAAGAGGACACGTCAGCGAATGCAGAGAGGGAAGGCAGGGAACATATTTTGCAGCACTACATCACCAAAATTCAGCAAAAGAAGAAGGTTTTATGGCTGATCTATCAGGAGAAGCGTCACTGATTGGTGGGAGCATTGACAAAATCTGCACCATTGATTAAATCAATGGCCAAGACAGCACTTTTAAGGAGCCTTTCACCTATAAATACTGAAGAATTCACCATTTTTGTAAGATTTTGGCATTCTTGGAGAGGGCTCAACGTCCTCCTTAGGAATTTCTTCTTTTTTTTTTTTGTATTTAAGATTTCATTCTGCTCCTTAGTATGAGCTAGTTATTTTTAGTGGGCAGAGGTGAAATAGAAGTACCCCTCTTTGTCTTAGGTTGAACTTGTAATGAAAAACTATTTTCTTTAATGAAATGTGTGTTGTTTCTTGGTTTAATGTTCTAATATTGTGATGCCCCTTGGTTTGCAACTTCATCCCGGGACCACTCGATCGATGAGACCCTCACAAGGCAGTGTGAAGCAACGTTAAAATCTTAGGGTATTTTGCTCTGAGTCAGAGAAATATATAGATAGAGGAGCAATGTTATGTGTAAAACACTTTTGCTAGTGATCCCTTCAGCTATGCTCTTCTGAGAAGGCAAACATAATCTCCCTTGAGCTTTAATCCATAAGACTCTTAAAGTAGTTTGGTGTAAAAGGTCTTTGCTCCAGACTGCTTGGGTGTTAAAACTTGGTGATAGATCAATCTGTCTTCAAAGACTTAAAGGTTGCTGGGAGCATATTCTGTTTTTGAAAACTTATGACATTGTAGGAATGACCAAGAGGGCGAAAATACAAAACTAAGCCTGCAAAATTTTTTTATCTTGATTCTATATTATTTTATTTCTCTTTTGTTACTTGTTTGATAAATATAAAAATCCCAAAAGAATTATTGTTTTGCACTCTATTTCTGTCACTATTGCTCTTGATCTCTTTATTTCCTATTTATTGCTCCCAATTTCCACGTTTTCTAATTTTCTTCAAGGAAAACTTCAATAAAACTTAAGGGAAAAACTCAGCTCTTAGTCACTCAGATTCTTTGACTTTGTTCAATCAGCTGGTGACAAGTGCTTGTTGGCTAACCTTGGTTTGAGAACGAATCTCCTCCTTGAAGCGAATTGCTCCTTACTTACTGTTTGCTCTCAGTTTTTCTTTTCTTATTTACACTTCTTTCAAACGCAACTTTTACATTTGTTCCATAAGGACGATAATCTGGGGCTCTTTGAAAACCCTGTATTGCTTGACGCGTACGCTTGCGCATTTTGGGAAGAGTTGCTCCTCATTTGATTAATTGCTCCTCGTAGTAATTTTTGCTCCCTACACGCTTTCGCTCTTATATTATCCCAGAGCATCTCTTGGCCCGACAGTAACCTACGATCCATTAGTCTTCAGTGGCCCATTGCGTTAAGCCCGCAACCCTCGAGAGCCATAAATTAATGCTATTACAAGGCTATTATAATTTCACAATTTTTTTTATACATAATTTCCCAATTAACTTCAATTTTTTATGATAAATGTATTAGATTGTAGTGTGATTCTGTTTTTATCATTTTATTGAGATACTCTTAGGCCTGTTTGGTGTAATATATAAGGTCTGCTAGTATAAGCTTATACTCTTAGGCCTGTTTTGGTGTAACATGTAGTATAAGCTTAGGACATGTTTGGTGTATAGTATAGGATAAGGCCTGATAGTATAAGACCTGATAATATAAGGCCTGATAGTATAAGACCTGATAATATAAGGCCTGATTGTATAAGATCTGATTGAATTTTAATAATATCCAGCGTTTGGCACGGTATTGTATAAAATAATATATTGTATAAGATAATATCATCTAGTATTTGATAATGCACTGTATAATACTATATATGATAAAAATAAATATTTTTACTAAAAATATCCTTTAATAAAGAATTTATGTAATTCTTCAAAACATGTCATATGATATTAATTTTAATAAAACTTTATTGATTAGTGTGTTCAAAATATAAATTAATTTTTATAAAAATAAAAATATTCAATATTTTAAAAATTAATATATTAAAAAATTAATATATTATTTTAATAGAAAATAAAAATAGATTAATATCAAAATAATATATTAATTTTTGAGAATTACATTGGTCAACGATATTAATACATCAATCTCTTATCAGGCCTTATCCCTCACCCTTAGGCCGGATTAAGTTATACATCGTTTTGATGTATTAAGGGATTATGCTGTATAAGCTTATACTATACGATGGTCATACCAAACAACTGAAAATGTCATAACATATAGTATAAGCTTATACTATCATGCCTTATACGTCACACCAAACAGGCCCTTATACTATATGTTATGATATTTTTAGTTGTTTGATGTGACTACTGTATAGTATAAGCTTATACAGCAAAATTCCTTAATACATCAAAATAATGTATAACTTAATCAGGCCTTAGAGGATGATATTAAGTCTGATAAATGGTTGACGTATTAACATCATTGACCAGTGCAATTTTCAAGAATTAATATATTATTTAATATCAATATAATAATATAAAAACAATTTTTCAATATATTAATTTTTAAAATTTTGGAGTTTTTTTTTATAAAAAGTAATGCATTTTTTTTGGACACAATGGTCAATAGAATTATATAAAAATTAATATCATATGACATATTTAAAAGGGTTATATAAATTCTTTATTAAAGAGTATTTTTGTCAAAAATATTTATTTTTATTGTATTTAGTATTATATAGTGTATTACCAAACACTGGATAATATTATCATTTACAATACATCCTCTTATACAATATAATGACAAACACTTGATAGTATTAAAATTCAATCAGACCTTATACTATCAAGTCTTATATTATCAGGCATTATCTTATACTGTGTACCAAATATGTCCTTAAATCTAGCATTATTTTTTTGGGCTAATTTTTATATTTTGAAAAATAATATTTTATTTTTCTCAAACTAAATAAAATTGCTGATAGTAAAATTTTTAGCCTCCAATCAATTCGTGGTGGTACTTTGACAGGAAAAAAAAATCTAAACGTACCTTAAGAACCTTTAGAGTCAGACTCGTTGTTGTACTCTTCAATTTACGAACCCTATCCAAGTTAAGACTACTTATCTGCAAAATTATGGAAACTCATAAAATCAAAAAATAAAATAAAAAGACAAGACAAAAATAATGAGTATATACAGAAGGCCAAATATAGAATTAAAGCATCCACACCAACTAACAAAAACCTTATTGAAGATAAAGAAAGAATTAATGTAATGGTTACGTACCTTGTTTGTAAGCTCATCCAACGAAAAATAAGTTTCCATTTCTAGTTCTGTTGTACGTGCGGCAAGGAAACTACAAATGGCTTCTAAAGCTACCTCCAAGACTTGAAATTCCAAGGGTGAGTCTATATTCCATAAACGAGATCATTAAGATAGTGAAAATATATATATTTTTTCACAAAACTAATTATGCCACTATATATATATATATATATATATATATATATATAGAGAGAGAGAGAGAGAGAGAGAGATATGTAGGATCCTTTGACACCACATCTGATAGCCGTTAGAGCAAAAAAGATCAATGGTGTCACATGTTTACAAATCAGAGTCGTTGATCTTTTTTGATCTAACGACTACCAGATCAGGTGTCAGATTTTAAATTTGACATTGGTGTCAAATTAAGGATCATACCTCATATATATATATATATATATGTGTGTGTGTGTGTGTCAGGATCATTTTACACCAGTGTAAGTTACCCTCCCAATCATGTCTGTTGTTTCCAATTATATCTAAGGGCTCTAATTTTTTAGTAATGTGAGCCATTGGATACAAGTGGATCAATGGTCAAGATTGAGTGTAAGACTTCTAACTCTTACACCAGTGTAAGGATATCCTGCCCATATATATATATATATATATATGAGCAGGATATTCTTATATATATATATATGAGGTAGGATCCTTTGACACCAGTGTCAAATTTTAAATTTGACACTTCATCTAAGAGTCGTTAGATCCAAAGAGATCAATGGCTCTGATTTGTAAGCATGTGACACCATTGATCTTTTTTAATCTAACGGCTCTCAGATAAGGTGTCAAATTTTAAATTTGACACTGGTGTAAAAAGATCCTACCTATATATATATATATATATATATATATATATATATATAAGTGAGGATATTCTAACTACAAAAAACTCTCACTACTAACTTACTACTCATCACATCACCATTGAATCAAAGAGAGAGAATGTTAAAAAGTTTTTGAAGATAGAGAAAATGTTAATCTAATGGTGATTAGATAGGTAGTAAGTTGGTAGTGAAAAATTTTGGTAGTTAGAATATCTCTCCTCTATATATATAGACAAGTTATCATAAATTAAGAAACAAAAATGGTTTAAATTATTTATTATTTTTTCTTTTTTTCTTACTAATATATTTGGGCTCATGGATGGGCGGTTCTATTAATTTGGGATAAAAATATATTGAGGTTGATATTAATTTATTATTCCTTATCTATTATGTCAGATCAAGCCTTTAATATTAACTTAAAATCTAAGCTTTTTCAAGAATTGAACAACCATTTTGATATGATGTTCGTCGAACTACCATTACTAAAAAAATATGAATTAGGGACGGATTTTAGAGACGAAAAATATGCCGTGTCTAATTGGGACAAAATTAGAGACAGAAAAAACAATATGTCCCTATTTGGGACGGAATTAGCGATGAAATAAGTTCTGTCTCTAGTAGGGACAAATTTTGAGATGGAAAAATATTTCGTCCCTATTTGGGACGGAATTAGGGATGAAATATTTTTAATTTCTGCAAGGGAAATCATATTCTTATGTTGCATGAGATTGATCTCTCATGTTATTCTCACTTCAAAAAATGTGCCTCTTTTTTTTCTTTTTTCTAAAAATTGGTGGGGCTTACTTTATTTGTCTCTTAACATGAGAGAACTTCACTCATACTGCATGAGAGTAGTAATCCCCTTTCTGCAATCCGTCCCTAATTGGAACGGAATATTGTCCGTCCCAACTTGGGATAGTATTAAAGTATCATTTCTAAAATTCGTCCCTAAATCCATCTCTATTAGGGACGGAAAATAATCTGTCTCTATTAAGGATGGATAAATTCTGTCTCTATTAGGGATGGATAAATTCTGTCTCTAATAGGAACGAAAAAAATCCGTCCCAAATAGAGACGGATTTTAGAACGAAAAAAAATTTGTCCATATTTTAGGAAAAATTTTTTTTTGTCCCAATTAGGGACGGAAAAAATTCTTCTCTGATTCTGTTCCTATTAGGGACGGACACATTCTATCCTTATTTGATATGGGAAAAATCTGTCCTTAATTCCATCCTTAATAGGGACAGATTCTAGCCTTCCACAACTAAAAATGTTCATAACATTAGAGACGGAAAATACGTATTAGAGACGGATTTTATTCCGTCCCTATTAGGGACGTAACTAAAGTTCTGTCCCAAAACATTAGCGAGGAGCTATTTAGGGATGAAAAAATTTTCGTCCCAAATTTCGTTCCTAATTTATTTAGGGACATATTATTGCCTTATAGGGACGTAATTTTTTCGTCCCTAATATCTGTTTTTTTTAGTAGTGATTGGCTTTTTCAAGGTGAGATGTTGGACTACAATCAACAATTTCCTTCTAAACTTGCTAGTAATACATGCCTTTTCAAAAATTGAATTCATAATCTTAGCTATTTTATTATTATTTGTTAAACTGAGTACATACAATTAGGCCAAAAGATTTTATTTATTAGTCAAATCACATATTTTTTACTCCATCAATAGGTTCACAATTCAATCCATCTCCAACGTGCCTTACTCAAGCATTGCGAAATTCACATCATATGAATGCAACATTTTGAATAATTACTTTAGGAAATTTTTAAAGTTATTTTGAACTTAAGATTTGAACAGAGCTAGCAAAATTTATAATTTAGGTTCAAACATTTAAATTATGGTTGAACAAATAATTCAAATACAACAAATAAAAAATATGAAAACATACATGAAATATAACAAAAATTACATTAAGTGAAAATTTTATGATTAAACATGTTCTAGGTCGGCCACACTGATCCAATTCAATGAGTCAGCTAATAAGGCATGAGGTCATGCCCTTGCATTTTTAAAATATGACTCTTAGACCTAAAGGATATCACTCTCCTACTAGGGAAAAACAACTAGAGCTCATTCTCTCGATCATCATTGGAGAATATTTTCCATCTATAAATTAATACACCTCTTTAGCCATTGAAAAGACAACTTTTACCCAACATTTAGAGAGTTGTTACCCTATTATGATACTTTTAGCTATGTTGCGTCGATATCGACACGGGACATAGGACACGATATGACACGACACAGCGACACATTAATTCTAAAAATGTTAGATTTCGACACATTGAGACATATTTTAATATTAAATAATATTTTTAATGTAGAATATAATTTACATTTAATATATATAGTAGCTCATAAAAGTCTTAAAAGTCATAAAACCAATAAATATCTTGAATAATTTTTTCTATAAACATGTTGCTCATGAGTGTGCTAACTAAAGGTACTAATTATAGAGCATATAATATTATTCATAAATATTTTGAAGCTAAGAATTAACAAATTTAAGAAAACATGTTTCAATAGGAAGTTCATCTTCTTTTATTTCGGTATATTAAATTGTCTTTATTACTTGAGTTATATATCTCATTGAATTTATTATGTTGAAATTGAAAAGATGATAAACAAGAACATTCACCAAAGAAATAAAAGTTTCAAATGAAACATATCTTTGACCTTTATGATTAAGTCATATTACGTCAAATAGGAAACATGGTTTAGTTAAAAGAGGGACTAAAAGTTCTATAGTTTTTGAACTAAAAGCCACATGTAAATCCTATTTTGAAGGTAAAATGGCTAAGAAATCTTACAAGGTCAAAGGGATTTGCGCAAATATTCGATTGAAATTGGTACATACTAATGTGTGTGAACCAATTAGCGTTTAAGCAAGAAGAGGTGACTAGTACTTCATTATATGAATGGCTACTCTGGATTTGGACAGATAAACCTAGTGCGCCATAAGTATAAATCTTTTTGAAAATTCCAAAAGATTTAAATCTGAGGCAGAAAAGCATCTAGGTGTTCAAATCAAAACATTTTGGTTTGACTAAAGTGTTGAATACCTATCTGATAAGTTCAGGTTTTACCAGATTTAAGAGGGGATAGTTTTCATAATTGTCGACTCTAGGAACATGTTAGTTGAATAAAGTTGCAGTATGCAGAAATCAAATATTTCTAGACTTGGTGAAGTCTATGTTCAGTTATTAATCCTTACCAATAACGTTTTAGGGAGATGCCTAGGAGAAGGAAATGTACTTTCTTAACTTGGTTTCGTCAAAGTTTGTTGTAAAGACACCTAAAGAATTATGGAAAGTGTGCAAGCCCAGATCAAATCATATTCGGATTTAGGGTCCTCTGACACACGTCCTACAACAGCGGTCAAATAAGATGGAATCTTGTATGGAAGAGCGCATATCATTTGGCTACCCTAAGAGAACCAGGGATGAAATCTTATTTAGTCGAAAGGGCAAGATGATCTAAGTGAGCAGTCACATGATTTTCTTAAAGGAGGACTAGATGAGAAATTATAACCTTTTAAGTAAGGTTATTCTTGATGAGACTTATCTTAGATCAAGAATTTCCAGAATCGCTAGAAGCTCCATTCTTTGTTCCCTTGATTGTTCAAAGAGAGGAAAGATATATCTATAGGTGAACAAACACGGGAATAATAATTGGAAATTCAACATGATAATATATAAGTGAAACTAGTAGAAATACTAGTATTACACGTGGAAGAACAATATCAAGGAGTAATTAAACACATCATATGTGGATCCTCAAGAAATTGAAGATCCACCATTTGACCCAATCTTGGATCTACCTGTAGATACACAAGGCCTAGTGCGGTACATTCGTAGTGGGAGATAACCTTGTTAACTCTCAAGTTGTCTTTTGTTAAGTGACATTGATCCCACTAATTACGATAATGCACTATAAGGTGTTGTTGATCAAGTGTGCTCAAGCTATGAACAATAAGACGAAATTTCTGTATTTTAACTCCATCCAGTACCTAGTAAAGGCACCAAGAAAGATAAGTCCCTCTATGTGCACGTGGACCTAAAATGCAAAGAGAAGATAGACAGGAAGGTGAAAACCTTCAAAACTAGCTTGTAGGTAATTTTTACCATAAGCCATGCTTGAGTCTATCCAGATTCTCTTAGTTCCTGCTTTTTCTTTGGAAGAGTGTAAGTACACATCTTTAAAATTACACCTTGGTAAACTCTTTTCCTTATTGCTCTTTGTCTCCTTCAGACAAAGATCTAATATAAAAACCCCATAAAATAGTCCCCAATAACAGTGAGTCATGAACGAGAACATTGTGACTAGACAAACTCTTCCTGCACGTCTCATCCTTGAGAGAAACTCTGCAGCACCAAAATTTGGTGCTTCCCTCTCTCTTAAATGGGAATTTAAAGGAAATTAAAGAGAAAAATGCTAGTTTAAATGGTATAGAAATTTCTCCATTTAAGAAAGTGAAGAGCACTGAATTTTGGTGCTCTGGAGCACCACAGTTTCTCTCTTCATCCTCGTGTTTCTCCCTCGCATGTTTTTCAGGAGTTCTTGTCGAAACCATTTCGAAAGGGTCCCCCCCAAATTCGATGTCTACTAATGAACCCACTACTCTATCTTATTATTATACTTTAATCTACCTCGAAATGTAAAGCTTATGTAAAGAACCTTGGGATACACCACCCCAAAAGCTAGCTCAAAGGGTGGGAGTGCCCAAGGCCTTATAAACTCCACATTAGTTGCACATACAACCAATGTGGGACTATATATCTCAACACGCCCCCTCACACAAGAGCCCATTGGGCTTGAAGAGTGGATGATGCAACAGGCCCAGCCAACCTGTACTAAGAAATTCCACAAGAGAAAGTGAGTGGCGGCGAGGCTCTGATACCATGTTAAGGACCTTGAGGTCACCACCCCAAAAGCTAGCTCAAAGGATGGGAGTGCCCAAGGCCTTATAAACCTCACATTAGTTGTCCATACAACCAATGTGGGACTATATTTCTCAACACGCCCCCTCACACGAGAGCCCACTGGGCTTGAAGGGTGGACAACATACAAGCCCACCTACATGTGAAAATTCCACTACAAAGAAAGTGGGAGGCGGTGAGATTTCGAACGCTCTGATACCATGTAAAGAACATTGGGATACACCACCCCAAAAGCTAGCTCCAAGGGTGGGAGTACCCAAGGCCTTATAAACTCCACATTAGTTACACATACAACCAATGTGGGACTATATATATCAATAGCTTAATTATGAAAGTAACTCAATTCACACACAACTAGATTCCTAGTTCTAGCTTTGATGGAAATCAAAACACAAATAGACAAGAGAAACACATGCAATAGTTTAGCATACAACATACCATCTTCACAATCCTCATTCTCATGTTGATTGTCGTGGTACTTTTTCCCATCTCTTTTGTGCTGATGATTGGTACTCATTGGAGTCAATTTCCTTTTAAGTTCCTCAACAACGGGGACTACATTTTCATCCATTTGATATCGTAGCAATACCTATTCAAAATTTAGTCAAGATTTCAATTTGAAGCAGAGACCTTTCTTAGAATGTAGAAACAAATTGTTCACTGGAATCTTGAAAATGTATATGGGGTTTGATTTTCTCATGTTGTATGAGAATTGAATTATCATGTTGTGACTTAATTAATGGTGAGTTCCACATTTATTAAAAAAAGAAAAGAAAAAATTTTGCACACAAATCGAAGGATTACGACATAAGAATTGAATTCTCATACAACATAAGAAAATATTTTTCCAATGTATATATCACGTATTATAGAAATGATATTTAATCATTATAATTATTAAAAGAGAAAATTAAAATTAAATCTATTATTTGAAGGTTTTTTTTTCTCTTCTTATTCTACTTATTTTAAAAAGGTAAAATATTTCAATGTGCTAGTTTGAATAAATATATTGTTTTTAGAGTGTAATATTTCGTTAGTCACACGGTTGACGAAGTGGCAACTATCATGGCACATACGGCAGTGACAAGCTCCTTGAATACATAAGATACGCGTCTAATGGTATATTGGAATATTCTGTTTAATTCAATATTCTTCTGGCCGTGAGATGTAATTCCTATCTAGTTGGGATAAGATTAAATTTTTTTTAAAAATTACAAAAATGTATAAATGAATTAGATCATCTTAAATCCATATAAGAATATAAAATCTCATATATTTTTTAAAGGAAATAAAATTTCTAAAAAGTGATAATTTTATCTTCTACACACATAAAAATGTGAGAGTTCCAAATTTTTTTTTTCTCATCTTTTTACATAAGATCTATATACTTTTATGTGTATAAGTAATTTTATCTTATATAACATAAGAAATTTTAAACCATTTGTTAAATTACCTAAACCTATTTGAATTTTTTTTTAAAAATGTAAACCTACATAGTAACTTTCCTTGAACCAATCTTTAGCTTATCTCTCATGTCCGTAGCTACCCTATCCTGATATGTAACTTACTTTACTCCTTTGGAAGACAAATTCTGTTGTCAACTTCAGCAAGAAAATCACCAACCCCAATTTCGCAGGCTTGTTTAATTTAACACTAAGGTTAACAGACTTCAATAATTTAATTACTATTTTATTATTCTAGTCAAATGCAACAAGAGTACTACAAGTTCATAAATACAAAGAAATTTAATTGGCTAACCTCTTCAGCTGTGATAATCGCTTTGATGTGCTGCAAAGGGGAGATAAGAAAAAAAAAAAAACAGAATCAAGAGTTAAAGGTGGAAAGTTTAATCACGTAATTAAGGCACACTAGACCAGGAAATAATTAAAATAAACACAATTTCAACGGAATTTCATGTTGGGTTCGATTTTTATAACTTATCTACATTAAGCTCAAAATGAAGACAGAAATCAAGATATTTTTGTAATTATCATTTATTTCAGGGTTATAACAGTCTTTTTCATTATAATTTTTTAATTTTTCAACCTAAAACGACGTCTCTCTGGGAGAAAATAAGATAATTTATCTACATTCACCGTAGAAATATTAAATCCTTTAATGTTATATGAGCAAATTACGTTATAAAAAAAATGTCAGTTGTGAGACGGTTTAATTATATAATTTTGCCGTGAGAGAATATAAAAATACTTTAAATAAAAAATTATCAGATAATTGATAAATCGATGGATATATAATTTTTTTAAATAAATACAATTTGAAATATATTGTTTTTATTTAACTAATTTTATTAATTTATGGTTAAATTCAAATTAAATCGGTTTTCATGGTGTTTCAAACTTTAGAGAAACAAACTAACCTCTTAAATTTCTGTAACAATTAGACTAAATGTAAAGTTTATCCCAAAATTATACAAAATGAAAGCAAATTATTTGAAATTTTGGCTTTGGTTGGAATTATGTGAAATTTTAAATAATTAATAAAAAATAAAAAATTATTATAATTAGTAGTTGCTTTTTAAAACTTCTTCAGGCTATCTATTTTTTAAACAAATGATTTGGCATACATATCAGAATAATATTATATAATAATATGTAATATGTATAGTATGATTTTAATCATAAAATTGGAATCCTTAAATTATGAATCAAATTAAATACACAAAATAAATAAAAATCAATAAATATAAAATAACAATAATAATAGTATGATTAGTTTACACTAAATATCTTTAATAGATTTAGTGTGGTAGCAGTCAAAGTCAAAATGAAAATTTCATGCACCTCCAAGTTAAGCAGAATAGCCTTTTCTCGACCAAGAATAGCCGATGGATATGAAAGTAGAGGATCCAGAATTCGAAGATCACGATAATGAATCTGAGCAAGATCCATGATGCCATGCTTGTCCATTTCCACAATAGAACATTGTCCATCAGAATCAAACAGAATCCATGTCGTGCTCGATTGTGGTTTCTCCTTCACAGCCACCAGTTCCTTTGCTTCACTTTGGCTTATGCTTCCATTCCTAGCCATCTCTCAAATCTTCAAAGTTTTCAATATAGTTAGAAACCTAGAAATCTCGCATTCACTAACACATGTAACATATTCATAACAAAAGAGAATGGAAGACTCGGAAATAAATTTTCAAGGAAGATAACATATAGAAAGAAACTATACCTTCATTAACTTAATATTTATTTGTTTGCAATAGCTATCTAGAGTTGACGGGTAGATATATATGCTTTGTAAATAACGGGCATGCACTTGATAAAAATGAAGAGATAGGTAATTACTGAAATCAAGTATGAAAAGTTGTGTTTGGCAGATTATATGCTAGTAAACATAGCATAAATTCAAATAGCGGCTGGTCAGTATTCACTGTCTCAGTTGAGACTTGAGTATTTTAATTTTAATTATTCATCAGTTAAACACCCACTTGCTTCATTGCTAGCTTTAAAATATTCGCTATCATTTATTCTTGTTCTTTTCTGTGTTTTATTTAATATAAATGAGCGTGTGAATGCAATGTAACGCCCCCTAATAAGCGCATCTCAGTTATCACCCTCTTTTCACCAATTTAATCATTACTAATAATTATAATTAATAAGATTGATTGCAAATGCGCCGGACTTATTGGCTTTTCAAATTCTTATTTCACTACATCCCATAAATCCTGTGAGATGAAGAGAGTTTTCATTTGAATTCTCCAAAATTCATAGTGCTCACCAGTGAAGATGTGAATTAGATTTTGAGTGTACGCGCGTAATTAAACAAGGCACGGGTGTTAGCTAGATGGCAAGGACATTTTAAGAAGGGATTTGAAATTAATATCTTATATCAAATTTGCTGGGTAAAATGTCAATAAAGAGAAAGTTATAGGCTTATATATAGTTAATTTTATGGTTGGAGGACGCAAAAGATCATCGAAGTGCATGGAGAATTTATGAGGACTGAATGAGTGTTGAAAAATGTAACATCCTTTGAATAATAATCAAAAAATATTATATACGTATTTTAAACTCTACTTATATTCATATATTATGCAGAAGATTTGAAATGTGAGTTTTATTGAAATTGACTGTTTTTCCCAAACTATCAAAACATATACAATTAAACCAACATAAGGTTTGTTTACCAAAAAAAAACAAAAAAAAGGTATTATGTAACCCTTACAATCAAATATAAGGGATTAAAATGGGCCCTGTGATTTTTGTTGAGAACCTATAAGATACTTTACTCAATAATTATTGTCTAACACGGAATTTCAAAACTAAATAAAAATTTATATTTCTTCCTTGCACACATGCACACAACATCTAGTTTAGACTCTTTCACCCACATAGAAACACACTTAATCATATATTTATCACAGTGAAAATAACAATTTAAAAGATTTTCATAGAAGTATAGTGTTTGTAGCCATAACTTTTTCTTTTTCTTTGGTAATCGTTTGCAACTATAATTTAGTATAGAAAAATGATCAATGGTTTTAAACAAATAATGTTAACATCATAATATTAATTTCAAAATAGTTTAACATCACAAAAATATATACTATTATCTGTCAAAATATTTTCATAAGCATGGATTTGTCTATTTACCAAAGCTTTGTATTTTAAAAGGGCATCCTGCTGCCTCATAATGTCTAAGGAATTTGTTGACTATGGACATATTTAGATTAATTTCTATAAGGAATCTCATAAACTCTTTAGACAAACAAACATGTGGATACTTTCGAAAGAATCCCAAAAAAAGAAATTGTAGGTTATAACATACATTACTTGAATTTGACATCACAATAAAAGTAAGAACAAATACATCACAACACTAAATCTTAAAAAATATAAGTTATAGAAATTGTATACCATACGAAATGTACTATACAAAATGTATCCTTTAGCATTATAAGAGAGTGTATCCTTTAGCACCCCCTACTAAACAATTATTAACTTAGGTGGCATCGAGAAAAAATGATGGTGTTGGGATCAAGGATGATGAGGAATTTTCCAAGAAGGCTATGAATTTTTCCACACAATTTGAGACGACTCAATTGGCTGTCAACTAATGCATTTCTAAGATTATAGCAAGGTTGGTTAAAGATAGTGAAAGGTATCACAGCTATGATAAAAGAGAGATAAAGAGAGAAAGAGAGAGATAGAATGTAAAAGGTGTTTATTGTATATTGAATGAATGAATCTTTAGCAGAGTGCTTTTGTCTTATATACAAAGGTGAGATGGAATAAGCTGCCACTCACTTGAAACTAATTAACTAACAGTTTGTTAAAACTGATTTGGATATAAAACTAAATCTAACTGAACCCAATGGGCCTTTGGGCCTCTATGGCTATCATCCCCCCACAAGCTGAGTGGACTTGGGATTGAGGACTCGAAGCTTGGACTTGAAGAGCAGAAAGGGATCGGTGGCCACTGCCTTAGTGAGCCCATCAGCAATCTGTTCTAAAGCTGGAATGTGATGAACTGAGACAGCTTTAGAGATAACTTTCTCTTTGACAAAGTGGAGGTCCAGCTCAAAGTGTTTCGTACGAGAGTGGAAGAGAGGAATGGACGTGAGGAGCACTGCAGAAAGGTTGCCACAGTAGATAGTAGGTGGACGTGGTACTTTGATTTGAAGCTCAGAAAGGAGAGATTGGATCCAGCTAATTTCAGCAACAGTAGCGGCTAGAGATCTATACTCTGCTTTTGTACTGGACCTACTAACGACGTGTTGTTTTTTGGAAGACCATGTGACTAGATTAGAGCCAAAGAAAATGCAGAGACCATTTCTGGATCTACGATCATCTAGATCGGAACCCCAATCGGAGTCACAATATGCAGCAAGGTGGAAGTGGTTCGAAGGTTCAACAGTTAAGCCATGAGTGACAATACCACTAAGGTAACATAATATTCTCTTTACTGCTTTCCAGTGGGTGTCCAACGGGTTATGCATGAACTGACAGACTTTGTTGACACTGTATGCTATATCAGGTCTTGTAATTGTGGCATATTGGAGAGCTCCAACAATGGAGCGATATTGGGCGGGATCAGGATGTGGGGATCTGTCATGAGACGAGAGTTTAGGGCTGCATGTCATGCGTGAGGGCGTATATTTGCAATCCAGCATGTTAGCTTTCTTCAAAAGGTCTGATATGTACATTGACTGATTTAGATGATAGCCACCAGAGTGTGTTTTGTGAGCTTCAATTCCTAAGAAGTAGTGGAGTTGTCCAAGATCTTTGAGAGCAAAGGTACTGTTGAGAAAGTGGATTAGAGATGTGTTGGCTGAAGTGGGAGATCCAGTGATGAGGATATCATCCACATACACAAGAACAAAAAGGGTAGTGTTCTTCGTGATGGAGATAAATAGGATAGAATCACACTTGGCTGTAGTAAATCCAAGACAATGAGAGTAGTGCTAAGCTTTTCAAACCAGGCACGTGGTGCCTGTTTTAGACCATAGAGTGCTTTAGTAAGCTTGCACACGATAGTTTTGTCATGGTGAGTGAAACCAAGTGGTTGTTGCATGAATACCTCTTCTTGAATATCCCCAATTAGGAATGCATTGTTGACATCAAGTTGGTAAACTGGCCATCCTTTAGATAGAGCAATAGTGAGGACAATCCTGATTGTTACTGGTTTAACAACTGGACTGAAAGTCTCCTGATAATCAAAGCCTTCTTGTTGGTGAAAGCCCTTAGCCACAAGTCGAGCTTTGTACTTTAGAACAGTGCCATCAGGTTTAAACTTGGTTCGAAATACCCACTTGCATCCAATAGGTAGTCTGTTAGGTGGAAGAGAGACTAATTGCCAAGTATTTTAAGAAGAGTTTCATGATGTGCCTCTGGCAAGAGTGGTTTTTCATTATTAAAATTGATAAGAATTGGGTCATAAGAGAGCAATTTAAATACATATTTACTATTTATTTTGATTCTTTCTATGTCAATAATATTCACCTTTTGGTTGTGTTTTTACAGGAAAAAGAGGAGTGAAAATTACAAATTATAAAAAGCCTGTTGACGCGACTCCACACACACGAAAGTTCCATGTTGCATCATGTCGCATAGGCCAAAGTCCAGAGAAATGGCGCAACTTGGCGCCACAGTGGCGCAAGTTAGCGCCATGTTGCATAGTACAAAAGTCCAGAGAATTGGCGCTAGTTGGCGCCAGAATGGCGCAAACTACCGCCACCATGCCAACCAGCGCCAAAGTGAAGGAGGAATGGCGCCAAGTGGCGCCAAGAAAGAAGAAGGATGGCGCCAACTTGTGCCAGTTCACGTACAATTGGTTCCGGTTTTTCACAATTTGACAGTAACTCCGCGCAAACGTGCGCCACACCGGCGCCAACTGGCGCTGGTTTACGGGAAAAAAGTACCGTGTTTTCGGAAGGGTATTTTTGGAAGAATAAAAGAGGCTTATAAATATATCCTCTTATCAGAACCCTAGAGATATCTCATTACATTCAGAAGAAGGCCGACAGCAGAGCTCGGGAGGATTCTTCCACAGTTCTTCTTCTTCATCTATTTTACTTTAATTTTATACTTCCCTTGAATATTAAATTTTTAGCCATGATTATGCTTGGCTAGTTATGGTTTATTGTAGTTAGGGTCACGAGCCCTATGTGAACCCTTGTTACGATGGATTGATTTAGTTTTGCTCATTTATATAATTATCTTTGTCTCTACCCTGTGCGTATTTTCTATTTTCTTTATTAGAACTGATCAATCTGAGAATAGTTTGAGGGTTAGAACCCTAGATAGGAATATTGGGGTTTTGATCTTGAAAGGGGGTCGGATAACAACTGGTATGCATGCTAAGAATAGATGTGTATTTAATTGCGGATGCTTAAATTATTTCGTTCATTGCTTAATACCATGAGGAACATTGCAAGGAATTGGGGATTAAAGGGTTAACCTTGCAAGGAATTGAGGGTTAACTAATAAATATTCTTAGATAATAATTTATCCGAGTAATTATATGAATAAGTATTGTGAATCAATCCAAAGTAAGAAGTGGGGATCATAAGGTGAGTGCGCTCT